TAATATATATAAATTTATTATAAGAAATTATATGATTTTATAGATTAAATTGCTATTATTTATATTATACTATCTTTAGTATATTTTGTTTTTAGAGAATTTAAAAATTTTTTTAAACTAAAAATATTATTTTTTTATGTTTATATTTTATATAGTATTTAAATATTTTATATATAAGTAAAAATTATCTTATAATTTATATTAATTTTTAATTAAATAAATAATTTAGATTTAAAGATATTTAAATTTATTTTAGATTTAATTAATATTAATATTAAAGCTTAAACATCTTTTTTTTTTTTAATAATCAATTAATATTAAAACTTAAAACACCTTTAAGCTTAAATGAGTTTTTTATTTTTAAATTATGATGTATTTAAAAAATATTAATATTTATTTAAAATTAACATAATAATTATAAAATATTTTATAATTTATATGGTAATTTAACAATATACTGTATTACTAATAATAAATTTAAATATTTACAAATTTTTAAAAAATTAATTTTATTTCTTATTAAATTTTCAAATGTATTTAGAAAATCTCATTAGTTTAATATATTATTAATTTTAATCACTATTTTTTAATTATTAAATTTAATTAATAATCATTAAATTTTGATGTGTAAAAATATCAGAGCAAATCTTTTTATGAAACTTTGTTCTAAATATAATAAGCATCCGATTTTTTTGCGACCAACACATCGAAATCTAGAATTTTATATATTGGTCATGTATCAAAAAAAAATATAAACAAAAGAAGAGTCCATGTTGAAAATGAAATCAAAAATCAAATATTGTTGTTTGAATATTAATTTCCGGTTATCGAAACGTCTATTCTCGTAAATGTTCATTGAATAAAAACTTGATACATATAAATTTTAACGTCATATAATGAAGTATTAAAGTACTTGATATAAAATCCATGAAACATCAATGAATAATTTAATCGTAAACTGTACAAAATGTGGAAAGAATATTAATATTTTTTTTTTTATTTCAGAAATTGACCATAAACCATTTATGTAAATGAACCATTATGGTTTTATACGTACCGTGAACAATTCCGTATAATAGAGTCCAAAATAGTACATAAGAAAATAAACCACCAAATACACCTTCAGTCCACACATCAGAACCATTGCGAAAATATATTCCCGGATGCGTGTTAGTCTTGACTGACCATATAAGAAAAGAAGTGAATAACGCTGTTAGAGCATAAAATATGAAACCACTATAGCCAGTTAAGCCCAAAATTCCAGCTGCTGAACCATTGATTGCTGACATTGAGGAACGAATAAACGTGATGGTCTTAGTATTATGAACGACGTTTTCAGGAACGTATAAAGACGCTTGATTTTGTGGTGACTGACTAGCCATGCTTGTAATTAGTTATGACAAATGAGGCAAGTAAATTAACTTTCTATCGCTCGGTTTTGACAATTTCACGGAAAGAAGTGGTCCCACAGGAAATTCGGTAAAAAATTTTCTTATAAGTCACGTGTAAACATACTAACCATTTTGAACCAAAAAAATTTTTCAGTTAATGCCCCTCGATTTTACAAGTTTTTTTTAATATCTCAAAATGTCTTTTTTAAAATATGAAAATCAATTACAATGGTATTTACCAAAATCAAATTTTTTTTTAATGCTTATCAAAATTCCGTGAAATAGAGATATTAGTAATCCATCTGTTATTATAAAGAGACAAAAATGAATCAACTAGAAAATTATAAAATATCGTAAAAAGACAGAGATTTATTTATTTCAGGGGAGCAGAGAGCAGGGAAGAAGTAATTTAATAATAAAAGATTAATAAACTTTTTTTATTTCGTAAAGAAATTATTAATTATTAAAATAAAAATATATGTTTCTAAATAAATCAAATCTTCCTGACGTATGCATGCATTGTACTACACCCAGTGTGACACGTGGTGGGAATAAAGTTACATTCGAAAAATTTTAAGATTATAAATAAAAAGTCCATATCGTTTGAATAACCATTTTTTACTTTTATAATCAATAACCTTAAAATTTAGACAGAGAAAATATTTTATAGGTGAGAGAATTACTGATCAAAGCGAATAAAAAAGGAAATAGCACGTGTATAATAGTGATGCTTCAAGATAGACAAATATACAACAATGGAAAATCAATCTATGTTATAATTAGTAAATTCATTCATTATCGCCCTTCTTATGAAATCCCGTTTGACATTTACATATTGTTTGTTAAACCAACCCCTCCAAATTAAGATTGATTGTTTATATAATTTTTGACCTGACCTCTTTTTTTTTTTTTCATCGTTGATTTATTTATCAAAATATTTTTTCAGTAATTACTTGAAAATACTAGTAAATATAATTTTTCTTTATAAGCTTTTACATTTTTTGATAAATTTATAGTAACTGATAAGTATATTTTATTTCAAAACGAATACTACACATCTAGCTAGTTTGCTGATAAAAAAAAATCTGATCCACTTTTCTTTTTATAACGATCTCGCCAAATCTTTGTAATGAATAGCAATAGTTCTCCCTTACAATCCCAGCAGTATTATCCCCAAGATGTACCCGTAGACTCCATTCAAAAACAACAACCACATAATAATAGCTCACAAAAGCCTTTTCAACACCAATTAGAACAACCGCAACAAACAATTTATACTGAGCCAGTTGTTAAAACTGAGAATGAAACCCAATCCGGAAATGCTTCAACAGCGGCAAAGGAAGCTGATACGAAAAAAAAGAGAGCTGGTCCTAAAAGACGAAAGGTTACTCACGGTAATAATCTGTCTGCAATTATAAAACACGTATTCCATGTATATTATTAACCTTTCAATACTTATAGCATGCGTATATTGTCGAAGATCTCATATGACTTGTGATGATGGTAAATCTTTTCCTTTGCGATTTTCTTTTGTAACCTTATTCGATTTTTAATACTATTTATCCTTAGGTCGTCCTTGTCAACGTTGCATCAAGCGTAGCATAGGGCATCTTTGTCATGATGAGCCAAAGGGTACTCACGGTTCTCAACAAGTGTCCACCGGACACAATGTTTTAACGGCCGGTATTTTAACTATGCAATCGCTTCCTCAGGACGGTAATTGTTATACATTTAATATTTAAATGATCTTTACCCTTTCACTAGCTTTACTTAGGAAATCTGTTTTCTCTTGGAAAAAGTTATGAGATCAAATGCTTATAATAATTTAGCCATGCAAGGATTTTCCGGACAATTACCGACGACACCTCTCACTTTTGCTAGTGAGCATATGGGTCATGAATTTACAGTTCTTACGTAAGATCTCCTTTAAAAAAAATTCGTCAAATTGTTTCAATTGGTTCAATCTTTCAACCCTTTTTTATTTTATTATTTTCGCAGTGACTTTTTGGAGAGTGTGGATGGAAATACACATAATAATCAAAACGCTGATGGAACTCCAATAGATTTTACTGAGAAATTTCTTTTGACGGCTGCTGATCCGTCTGATGGTACTTCGGAAGATCGACTAACTCAAGTGATTAATGCAAAGTTTGAGGCTGGTTTTTTAAAGCCATATAATTACGTCAGCGGATATGCCCGATTACAAAGATATATGGAAAATAAGTAATAAACGATTATTAAATTTTCGAATAATGCTTAAACAAAAAACATATTATTTACAATCTTTTTTTTTTTTATTTTATTACAAGTATGACAAATTTATGCAGACAACGAATTTTGAGTACACTTGGAACTTTTCGACCCACTTTTCGTAATATCGCACAGTCTTTAACAGACATAGACTTAGTTTTAGTAGAAGAAAATTTTGAACGACTTTTGTTGGTTCGGATCTTTCATTTGCATTTAAATTATTTTAAATTGATTATTCTATTTCATAATTGAATCTTATTTACATTTGCTTATTGGGATATTAGGATTATGATAGGGTATTTAGTTCAATGGGAATCCCTGCTTGTCTATGGCGCAGGACAGGTGAAATTTATAAGGGAAATAAAGAATTTGCGTTACTTATAGGAGTCCCTGTTGACATGCTTAGAGAAGGAAGGCTCTGTATATATGAGGTAATAATGTTTTATTTAATCAAAGTAAAAATCTTCTTTTGATTCATTCTTGAGATATTTTAATTATATAGTTAATGATGGAGGATTCAGCTGTGAATTATTGGGAGGTATGTGAAAGAGATATAAATAAATTTACTCATTGTAAAGAATTTATCTTTAATTATTATAATAATTTCATTCATTAAATTCATTAAAGAAATACGGTAACATAGCATTTGATGCTGGTCAGAAAGCAGTGTTAACATCTTGCTTATTAAAAGGACCAGATCAAGATAGGCAGAATGTTATTTCTTGTTGCTTTTCATTCACAATCCGTCGCGACAAGTATAACATGTACGTGTAAAATCATCATTGATAAATAGTTTTTCCTTTTTGATGTAATTTTTTTTAATTCACTTTTTTTTTTTCCGAAATTATCTATATATTTGTAGACCGGTAAGTTATGTTTCATTGACTTTTTCACGGTGATAATCGATTTTTTTATATCTTAATTATCTTTCTATAATTGTTAGTCTGCAATTGTTGGAAACTTTCTTCCAATTACTCTCACCACATAAAAAATAAAAGGTTATTTATTTATTATTATCATAATTTTGTTATTGTACTTTTGTTATGGATATATTAAATTTAATATTACATTTATATAAATATAATAAATATAATAAATATAATAAATATATATAGATTTATATATAATAAATATAGATTTGAAAATATTTATATTTATATTTATTTAATCTAAAATAAACTATTATAATAATTACAGCAAACTATATATATAGTCCAATTTTCACCTTTTATTTAATGTTACAAATTTCAAATAACCATCCAAAGCGAATTTATGCTAAGTATAGTATTTCAAATTCCAAAAAAAAAAAAACAAAAAAAAACATACAAACAGAAAACAATCTTTGATAAACTCATAAGATTATTTCCTTGGCCTTCCACGCTTAGCTTTTGGTCTACTGACCGTTGATTTTGCCTTTTCACCTTCATTCTTTAATAATAATTAGGATATTAATAACCATGAAAATGCAAATGATTTGAAGGAAATTATATCTAATTCGTAAATAAAAAATATACATATAATTACCTTTCGTTTAGAAGGAACTTTTGGATCGCTTGGTAACGTTGTGAAAAAGCTATCCAACCTTCCTTGTGTGGCGATCTTAAAATTTTTCTCAAGCTTATCGATTCCTTTTCTTACACGATCTTCACTGTTTGATAATAATAAATAATAATAATAATAATTTAATATCTGACGAAATTGAAACCTGATTAAATAAATTTCGTTACCTAAATCCTTTTTCGCGAACTAGATATTCTACTGTTCCTTCAACATCAGGTTCTTTCCATTTGAGCTTGAATATATAACATATATATAAAATCATGTATAATTAAGAGAATTAAATATTTCAATATAAACGAAATATTTACCTCGATCCCTTTTGGATCTAGAACCTCTGGATTAAGAAATAACTCTCGAGCTTCTTCAAACTTCCAGTCTTCTGGAATTGGATATTTTTTAGCATCAAGGTTCTTAATTATTCCCTCTATTGACTTATGTTTTTTTTATTAATTCAACCGCCCTATGTGGACCGATGCCTTTAATAGAATCACAATAATCACAACCCAATAAAATACACAGATCTATAAACTAATCAAATAATAATTTTGATCAATATATAGAGATGGAACAATTGAAATAAATGAAAGAAAAAAAAAGCTTACTTGATTCATTGTGAAATCGAGACTACCCAACACTTTACTTAGGTGAATTTCATCAATCGGTAATTTTCTAGCTTCACTAAAAGTTAAATGTCTTAATAATATTGGGGACGAAAAGGTCAATGTGTCCATATCTTCGGACGCAGCTGCGTAAACCTGAATAAGCAAAACGACAAAAAATAAAAAAAAAAATATAAAGGTAAAAAACCTAATTTCAAAGGAAGGAAGAATAATGAGAAAAATCAAAGGCTTTACTTTTCCATCACGAGCCATAACGGCACACTGAGCTTCAGCTTCGCATGGTGCCTTAAAAATTGATTTAAGAACTTCCAAGGTTAATAATAACTAACAACATGCAAAGTTATTTTAAATTTAAAAGGGCAAAAAATGACCACCTCGACATATGGAATTCCCATCAAGCTTAATAGCTTTTTACATTCAGAATTATGTTCTGGAGTAACTTTAACAGTTCGTCGAAGGAATTTATCTATGTCGGCAGCATCACCTGTCATATTTCCATAATATTAATGATGATTTTTAATGAACTGCATTTATTAATATACATATCACAAGTTCTCATGAAAAAGTTACCCAATTCTTGTGCTTCTTCAAGGTTAACATTCGCTTCTTTCCTCCGGGAAAGTCGTTTCGCAAGCTAAAGCGCGTCGTAAAAAAATTTCAAATTTAGTGTTTTACAAGAAAAAAAATTGAAATGAATCATTATTCAAAACATCAAAATCTTACTTCACCAGATTTTAAGGTTGGCGGTTTTCCGTCAAAGACATAGCAAGGTTTTAAACCATGTTCAACCATTCGAATTGTTCGATAAAAGATACCCATTAAATGACTAGATTTACCAATAAAAAATTAAAAAGCTGTTGATAAAATACATTTGAAAATGTAATTAAATCATTGAGCTATGTACCTTGTTGTCTCTCCCGATTCGGTGGTCAGTTGCTGACCATCCTGTTGTCTCACCGCGATTAAGAACTGATATATTGACATTGAGGCATCAATAGCAACCTTACGCCCAAAGTAATTCTTGATTTCATTATGTCTGATGGCATTAGGGGAATGATCGCCAATAACTTTAATTAAACCATGAATACCCATTATGAGATTTCTTTTGAAAATTTTAGTGTTAATAAAAAAAGTTTCTAGGGACTTTATCTACGCGTTTCGCGTAGCTGTACGTTGACAAATGTAGCAGGTAGCAGCATGGTAGACATTAAAAACATGATTGGTCTAAAATAAGAAAGCATCATGTGATTTTTGCCGGAGTAAATTAGCCTTGAAAATTTTCATCCCACGTAATTTTTGGCCGGCATTATTTAACTTGGCCGAAATTCACAATATGACGAACACCAGAATACAGAGGTTGGTCATAAAAAGCTTCCACTAGCTCCGATGACTTTTAGATACATTTTAGTAATACATTCCAATGTCCGATGTTTTTGTCAATCCAACATTTCTATTCAACATTTTTTTAATCTTAGGATAATTACCAACAATTTTTTTTATTGTATTAATAAAAGCCAACAAAAATGACTTGTATAATAAAAAAAACTATTGAGACAACTTAATTAAACTTAAATGTAGATCTTAAATAATTTATCATTATAAATTTTAACAAAATATAATTACATTAATATATAAATACATAATAACTATAATAGCTAAAACACTATTTAAAGATTTTTTTTTTTTTTAAAAAAAAAAAAAAGAAAGGATTATAAAGAACTTTGTCCTTGAACATTATTAGAATATTCCATTTGTTCATTATCAATAATTTTAGATGACGAAGTACCTTGATCAAAATTTGGAGGCTTTGGAATAAGACCTTTTGTTAAAAAGTTTTTTTTTAAAAAAAAATTAGCATTTAATTCATCAAAGCGATATTTTACAATTTACAATATAAATTATTTACTTACCTAATGTTTTGAACATTACTTGATCTGAATCAAAATCATTATTATCCGTTGTTAATAATTTATCACCAGTAAAAATAGAATTTGCACCAGAAAAGAAACAGAGAGCCTATTTCAAAAAAAAAAATAAAATAAAAAAGGATAAATGTTTAAGAATTTTAAAAAGCAAACACTAAGTCATAATAATGAATACCTGTTCGGGTTGAGAAAATCGTACTCGACCAGCTGATAATCTAACCATTGATTTTGGCATGACTATGCGCGCTGTTGAAATCATACGAACCATTTCCCAAATTGACACGGGCTAAAATAATTTGTTTGCCATGTTAAAAAAAAAACTAGGGACAAAAAGTATTATATGATCAAAGCACATACCTCTTGTTTCTCCATAGGAGTACCTTCAACCTGTACAAGAGCATTAATAGGAACACTTTCAGGATGTTGTGGCAATGTTGCTAAAGTATGTAACATTCCTACGCGATCCTCAGAAGTTTCACCCAATCCAATAATGCCGCCTGAACAAACAGATATACCAGCTTCACGAACGTTTGAAATGGTTTCAAGACGTTCATCATATGATCTTGTGGTAATTATTTTTGGATAATATTCTCGTGAAGTATCCAAATTATGATTATATGCTGTTAAACCTGCATCTTTAAGCGCTTTTGCTTGCGATTCATTTAACATTCCTAGAGTACAACAAACTTCCATGTCCATGGATCTACGGAAAAAATCATATCGTCAATCAAAGGTTTAAATAAATGATACGCGTTTTCGCGATTCGAATTTCATTTTTCTAATATTACCTAATCTCTTTCACATAACTCACGATTTTGTTGAAATTACTTTTTCTACCCTTTAGATCTCTCCATGCAGCTCCCATACAAAACCTAATCATCAAAGTAAATTCAATAAATGATCATAATTCAATCTTATATTAAAGTATATGTAAAACAATTTTACCTAGTGCTACCGGCTTCTTTTGCTTTTCTAGCAGCCACGAGTACTTCATCCGTGTCTAATAATTTAGTTGCCTTTACCATAGTTTTATACTTTGAAGATTGAGGACAATAAGCGCAATCTTCTGAACATCCGCCTGTTTTTATGCTTAATAAAGTACATTGTTGTACGGCGAGTGGATCAAAATTCTCACGATGTACTTTTGCCTTTATTTTTTTAAAAGATTTAATCATATATTTAAAAAGGGTTAAACAAAGCGTGATTGGAATGACGTCTTGCAAATTTTAAATAATTTAAGAATTCTACTTTCTTATTCCATTATTTGTTTAACTTACACCGTAAAATAAAAGATCCATTAGAGGTGAATCGTAAATAGATTTTATTTCTTCTCGGGTCCAATCATTTCTTATATGTTTTGAAGCATATAAACCAGCTACCGAAAGAGGTTTCGTAAAAGTTGGCGTATTACCAACCGAAGCTAACCCACGCACCGTAGTTACCGATAAAAATTTAGATGAAATCGTATTATGACTCTTTGAGGAGAATAAACGGAATGCCATCTTTAATGATAAGTTATAAAGGGATAAAGATAAAGGCAATTAAAAAAAAAATTCAAGAGAGTACAAGAAGAGAAATATATATCGAATTTTTGGACCGTGATCAACATTTTCATGTTGGTAACACGCATTTTTTAAAAAACAAAATTTTTAGATATGATCCGCATGTTCATCTAAAACCCTATCGGATGAATTTACAAATTTAGCATAAATCATTATTATCAATACATTTTCAATACATAATAAAACATTACCATTAGGAAGATTAAAGGTAGATTCATTTTACGCATAAAGTTAAAAACAATTCTTTTTAATTAATTTTTTTTTGTTTCCGACAAACCAGTTTAAAACTTTTTCCCTGATCGGTCAGCAAGAATAGGATTAGGCTACGAACAGTTCGGATCAATCCGATGCGGTTCACAAACCGAACTTGTTATGAAATAGTATAAGTTTGGTTGTGATACAAGAGCATTGAATTCTTCTTTCAAATCAAAATATAAATCGATACGTTTTGCGCAAAAATTAAAAACGATTTGCACAATAATAAAAAATTCAAAAAATCAAAATTTATAATATCAAATTAGAAACAAAAAAAAAAAAAATTCCTAATTTCCAATCCAATAATCTCAAAATCAAAAGAAAAATAATAAAAGGTTTTGATCTGATTACCCATATTAAATTATAAGGACTTGTGAAAACAGCAAAACCAGAAATTTAGTAATTGCGTTCCATAAGTTCCCCATACGAATTCTAATCTGAATTAGACTTTTTTTTTCTTTCCAATATTTATCTAGATCCAATTCCCCTTCTTCCTTTATTCCACAATAAATACTTCATTCATCCAATAAAATAAAACGATTTTATGATCGCGTTTTATAGGACCCAATCTATCATAGAAATGTTAAAGCTTTAAAAATAACAAATGATCTTTTTTAATTTTTAATCTGGATTCGTTTTTAAAGTTTCTTGATCATTCTCGAAATCTGTTAACATATCTATTTGGAGATACCAGAACGATTTTTCATTTAACAACTTTTGATACTAGTTTGATTTAAATCTAAGTTATATTATACTACATATCATCGTTTAATTCCGCAATAAAATCGCAATCGGTATATCATCATCCAATTTACAATAATTTTTTTCGATATATAAGGTCGGATTCAACCGTTTTTAGATTTTAGATTCAAATCTATTATATTTCTTATTCGGTTAACTTAAGAACACTTTATACCTTTAAGGATTTTGGTAGTGCGGTCATGTGCGCGTGCACATGATTGGTGAATTTCCGCACGTTTAAAAAAAAAATATTTGTGCGCAATCCGCACTTGACAGTTAATATATCTAATCACCTAACGCTAAGTTTTAAGAGTTCAATGTAATTAAGTAAAGATAAAAAATTTTTCAGTTAATATATCATTAAAATGTGGTTTTTTAAAGTTCAAAGAAACATACAAACGTTGCGTCTTCATAATTTTATTATCACTAATAAATTGATCACTAATAAATTGGTATGTTTCCTTTCAACTTTTAAATTAAAAAATTTTAATTTAATTTAATAATTGATAAATAATTTCAACCTCAGAAATCATCATTGATAAAGAATGGAAAATATGGATCAAATAGTACAATAATTTTACGAAATTTAACTACATCCAATAGACGTAGTAATCCTTATCAGAAGCGTATTGATAGGAATAAATCCTTTTTAATGTACACGATAGCCGTACTAGTTTTCGGTGTAGGTTTTACTTATGCTTCAGTTCCTTTATATCGAATGTTTTGTCAAACGACTGGATTTAGTGGAACACCTAATACGGATATTTCAAAATTTAGTCCCGAAAGGCTTATCCCGGCAAAAGAATCACGTAGGATTAAAATACATTTTAATGCGGATACCTCACTTGCCCTGGATTGGAGTTTCGTTCCTCAACAACGTGAAGTTTACGTTTTACCTGGAGAAACTGCTTTGGCTTTTTATACGGCAAAGAATAAATCGAATCAAGATATTATTGGGTTGGCCACTTATAATGTAACCCCTTATAACGCTGGTCAATATTTTAATAAGATACAATGTTTTTGTTTCGAAGAACAAAAATTACAAGCAGGAGAAGCCGTGGATATGCCAGTCTTTTTCTTTATAGACCCGGAATTTGCCGAGGATCCTTTAATGAAAGATATTGATACCGTAACTTTATCGTACACTTTTTTCAAGGTAAATCATTTGAATCGTATTTTTTGAACAGAGATAACAATTTTAACATATTCATTTCATCCACTCCTTTAGGCAAAATATGACGACAATGGAACCTTGATTCCAGTTCCAACAACATAATATTATTTTTAAACAATTTCTATCTTTTATCTATCGTGGAATTAAATATGATTTTCACGCGCTCTCAATTACAAAACGGCAAAATTTTATAAATGATCGCGTTTCTTGGCTGTACGCTGATAAGGTCGTAAAACCCATTCGATATCAGCATCTTTCAAATCGACAGTTCCCAATTTGATTTCGTAAACTAAATTATAAATGCCAAGCAAGAAGGATTATTAAGGAGGTTTATTAAGCAGGATTCACATTGAAATTAATAAATAAGTACATACGTCGCATTTCAAAACGGGGTCCAACCTCAACCAATTGTACTTCTTTGTTATTTATTTTTACGTACACATGATGCCTAAAGGTTTTAAAAAATAAAAATTTTTTTTTAAAAAAAAAAAATAAATAAATAAATTAAATTAAATATTAAAAGTAGAATTTCATTTACCGGAATGAAATAAAATCGCTATCATTTGCAAAAGTCATAACACGTTTACTGTCTTCCTTGGGAACCGGGAACAGAAATTTAATGATATTCATCACCTACAAATAATTCAACAATTTATTATATATCTGATTAAAGTATTTAATAGTTATTAATTACTTACCCTACGACCAAGATTGGAATTAAAGTTATGAAATATTAAATGTGGGAAAACTTCAGAAACTGTGCCTTCGTCTTGTATATCATGTCGAAGTACGACATTATGCAATGAAAAGAATGCCGTAGGCCCATAAGGAAAATGACATACAATCAGTCCATCTAAAGAATAACAACCGGAGAAAACATTAATATAATCTTTTAAAAAAAAAAAAAAATTTTGATGAATAAATTTATTACCTGGTTCACCACGATGCTCGTGCACTATTATTAAGTCGGTAACATCATTTGTCTTGCAGGCATTGACCAAATCTTTGACTACAGAATTACCACGATTTATTCGTTGTGAATTAGGGAATACTAGACGCATTTCCTGATTAAAAAGGGTATAATCCTTTTAATTAGTCATAAATCTCGGTATAAAAATAACATTCAATAAATCACCTTTGCGAATTGTGAGAGTCTGCTACTCGGATCACGTGATGTTGTTATCAAAACTTTCGGATCGTAAATCCCAGCGCGCGCATATTCATCATCGATATGTGATGATGGTTCTACAATTTGATTGAATTGATTGATAAGTTTATGGAAGGTCAAAAATAATAACTTTTCAAATCGTACCATTCTGTGCTTCATCAAAATTTAAATCTTTTTGAAGTTGTGTGGCTTCCGTTCGCAATTCGGTCGGAATTGGTCTACCCTCTAATAAGAAAAAGAAAAAAAGAAAATTGTATTCAATTGACTTTTTGGCTTATTATATTTGATAAAAAATTTTAATTTACCCCGAATAGCTTCCTTAATTTTTTGTTTTCTTTCATAAATTTGTTTTTCTTTGGTCTCTAATGACTTTTTATATAGATATTCTCGACGAAGTCGCGTTTGTCTACGAATCTAATGAAACAATAATTACGTTTTTGTAAAATAAATAATAATAAATGAAATACATAATGATGAAAAAAAAAAATGGTTACCATGTTTGATATTTGAAAGATGAAAAAAAAAATTTAATATATATTATACATATTTTTTTTTTGATTTATGAATTGTTCGTTACACGAACATTTGTTAAATATCGATTTTATCAATTCGAATTTCAAAAATTCATTTTTTTTATATAACATGACCCAAATATCAACAAGCAGCAATAAAAAAAGTGGTCAAAGGTACCAGAATACTTTTGCATTTCAACCAAATAAAAACTCAAAAAAGACGAAACTTATTAATTCTTTACCCATAAATGGACTGTAAGGAAATATATTATTATTATATGGGACCTTTGCAATAGAAAAAGAGGAAACGGCTAGAAAAAATAAAAATTGAGTTAATGCTAAATCTGAACATATTTTGACTTAAAAATCATATTTGGCATATAAAAGTAAAATTGATTTTTTCCGGCAGTTTCCCCCCTTTCTATTGCAAAGGTCCCATATTTTTTTTTTAAAAAAAAAAAAAAAAATAACTAATTTTAATAAGAACATCCTATAATTTAGTTGCCATCGATGTAAAGAAATTGTTGAATGGCGTAAAAAATATAAAAAGTATAAACCCTTAACAACACCGAAACGTTGGTAAATTTATAAATTTTTTTTTTTAAAAAAATTAATTTTCTTGACGAAACTTACTCAACAATAATGTCTTAATTTTTAGTGTAAGTTGTAATGAAAAAACTGTTAAAGAAGCTTACCATATCTTATGTAACAAATGTGCTACAGATAAGAAAGTATGTGCAAAATGTCAAGAATCGGTTGAGATTGTTTCAAGGTTGGTTAGATAATGTTATCATGAATCTTATATAATAATATCTAACTTTATTGATTATCTTTATTAGTAACATTAAGAGTAATAAGGAATTATTAAAAGAACAGCAAGCGCAGGAAAAATTGCTATCATCATTGCCTGAACGAAAGAGAAGGACATATCTTCGTCAATTGGAACGTGGTGAAGCGCCGTTAAGTAGTTTAGTTAAAGATTTAGATGATGATGACGGTTTCGATGATTTTTCAGATAAAGAGGAGCTAGCATAATATTCATATTTAAAATTTTTTAAATTGAGTTTACTTATGTATATTTTATAAACTTTATTTATTAATAAAAACGGAAAAATGATATGAACAATTTAAATAAGACAAAAATTTATAGTAACAATAATATATATATATTTCATTTAGGAAACACTATTTGCAAATCGCACGTTGATAATTTAACTACATACATTC